TCATTTGGTATACCCATCTCAATAAAAAGCTCACTTGGATAAAATGGATACATGGCACATGTCTAAAGAATACTGATAATTAATGGAGCGTTAATATGAAATTAGTTGGTGACTCTTGGATATGAGAACAACTTTTAAGTGTTAGGGACCAAGCTATTGCACATTGTGGTGGAATAGACAACCTGATTCGAAGCCTTCGGACGTGCTATTTCGGTGATAAAATTCCGCTATCTGCTCTATATCAGATGATTCTCCCATGTTTCCGTCTCTGTTCCGAGGTATAAAATAGTATGAGATGTTCAATTACCCTAAACATTCTATTATACTTTAGGTAGATATTCAAGGTAAACCCCTAACTCTGCATGTTAAATTTGTGTAGGTTTGGGATACTAGATGCAAACCGTTGTGCTCTATACAGTAACAATGCAAATGAAAGGCATTCACATCTTTTCCTTGCTTGTGCCCATTCTACTCAAGTCTGGAATATTGTCATGGAGTGGATGAAGTTCAGATGGAGGTCTATGCAATTCGAAGCGAAAGGAATAGAATGATACTTGCACAACAAGCTAAAATTGTGGAGCAAACTATGAAGAATATTATGGTATCTTTGATGATGAATGTGCTTAATCCTCGTAAGCATCTTGATTGTATGAATTGGATGTTGAGTTTGTGAGTTCGTTGAGCTTGTAACTTTGTTATCTGATGAGATGATTCTCAGTATTGGTCGGGTTATCTTGATGTACACTTATTTCCTATTTGGTGAATGAATAAAGATATTTTTCATTGATGAAAAAACGATTTCATCATAAAATGACCAGCTCAAAAATCAAGAAAATAAAAAAAAAGTTGGAAAAATATTTTTTGTGTCTTAGTCACTTAAATCTTTAGTATATTGAAATTAGTACCTCAAATCATTAAAGTTTCTATTGATCCCCCAATTATTATATCTTGCTACTACTACTCTTCATTGGAGAACTACTTGAAACAAACTCTAAGAATGGGAGATGTAATAGTTATTACAATGATTTGAGTGTGACGCCCCTGGGTTCACACAAGGCTGCAGTCCAAGGTGAAACCAAGAATGTCAAACCTGCCATGTACCACACCGTGCAACAACATATTTCACCATCACAATTAACATCTATCTAGTAGAGTCAACAACAGGTGTAGGTACAAAAGCAAGTAAAAGATAATACTAGAAGTACTGATGAAATGAAATCACATAAATATCTCATCATCCAACATACTGAAGTACATAGTCAAGGTGTGTGTAGATAAACTGGAATACTCAACAAGTCTCAAATACAAATATCTGACAAAAGGAAATAAGGCACACAACCTTTACAACTTCTAGAACAAGACCCTCAAATGTCTACACAAAAGAAAATCTAAAGTGGAGCCCCAAATAAAACATATAACTAACTAGACAGCTGAAGCTAAAATGCATCGCCATCAACCTGCGACTCTCCGACCTCCAGGCTCGTTACCTGAAAGGGAGAGGGACAACGAGCATCAAAGCGCTAGCGAGTAACATCACAACCAACCCCAAGGGAACAGGGCTCGTTGTATAAGAAAATACAGATAATATATAATAGATCTAAACTCATTGATCTTACTAAAGAGGGTTTTAGTAATTAGAAATTTACAACACGAGAATAGGTACGTCGAGCGAAATAATCCAAACAAGGAAACCCTCATGTATATACCTTATATCTCAAATTGTAAACCCCTAATCACCAAACCCGAGGTTCTAATACAGAAACAATAATAAAAGAAATTCAACAAATCTCAGAACATAAGTGCAGTGCTATATCATAGCCTACATGAATATCATGCTAAAATTTCCACATAAGTGTTATGTTAAAATCTACATAATTATCATGTAGTGAGCTGCTGTGAGAAAGTCATATGCAGGGTTAAGAACTATGTCCGAAACAGGAACTATATATTGTAGTTTCCAAACTCATGAAATAAGTGGCAAATGTCCAACACGAGGACTGAAATGGATTATAGTCTAGCACGAGGACTTCTATGGATTATAGTCCAACACGAGGACTGTGAAATGGTGCCTACAGCGAGCTCAGCGGTCGACCTCAGCGGTCGACCGCACCGGTCGACCGCCAAGCGGACAGAAACCAAATCTGGGTTTTCTGTCAGCTTCTAAACCTGAAATAAAAACTTGATAATTTACGATAACAAGAGTTCTAAAGTTTCAAAAAATCTTACAAAAGATAAACAACTAATCCCAAGCTTGAAATCTACGTTTCCAATATTCTAAAATACATGAGAAACAAGTCCAAAAACGTTTTAATAATAGTAAAAATAATTTAACTCTTGTTTAGGCAAATTTCAGATCTAGATCTTTATAACACAGAACATTTGTGAATTTTTATAAACTGAAACCAATTGAAACCTCTGATTCTTGTTAACCATATTAGAGAGAGTTCATTTTTATACAAAATAAAAAATACCATTTTGGCTCATCAAAACTCATAAAAATTCAAAAGAAAACCATAGAAAACAGGGGTGAGGGATTGGGCGAGATGATACTCGCCTCTGGTGAGCAACGGATCGCTGAAACTGAAGGAGAACGTTTTCCTTCGCTGAATCCCACCAAGAACTGCTGCAAATCCTCAAGAACTTCTCCCAAATCACCAAACAAAGGGGATTAGGGTTTTAGGGAAGAGAGGGGGGCTAGAGTTTTGATTTCAGATCTCCAAAGGGCTCTCTCGGATATATTAGCCTATATACCAACTCACAAACCCGACCCGAAACCCGTTTGAACCCGAACCTGAGAAAACCCTCTAATCGCTGTGCAGTCGACCCGCGCAGCACAAAAATACCTGCTGCTAGGCATCTCACATGCTGGCCATAACACTCGATTTCTCTCACTTATAAACACCTGTTGGGTTCCCAAACACTGATAAATATATACATCTTATATATATATGCTTATTTATCACAAAAGAAAGATTTATTACTATTTATTCACACAATATCATTATAAAATTTCGGGGTTTTACATTGAGGGATTAATCTCAAAATAGTAAACATTTAGGAGACTAATATCGAAAAATCACACGCACAATAAAGAAGCCTAAAAGACCAATTTGGTTCCCATAGTGGGGCTTTACACTCAAATTGGTCCTTATATTTTATTTTTCTCAACTTGATCTTTATACTGAGGCTTCATACTTAAATTGATTCCTCCAACATTTTTTCTTAACTTAATCCCTGATCTTAGGCTTCATACTCAAATTGGTCCTCCTACTCATTTTAAATTTCATCATTTTTCAATAAACTCCAACCAAGTTCCAATATCACATTAATAACTCCAAGAACTTTCAAAACACTGCTAATAGCTTTCAAAATCACACTAAACTATCAATAACTTCCAAGTTACACTAAAGGCCCTATAAATTTTAGAATTGCAAAAAAATCCCAACATTTTGGGATATGCTTCCATAAATTAGAACCAACAAACAACATAAAAAGGCAATTTGAAGGGCAATTTTTCAGCAACAGAAAAAAATAGGGTTCCTGACGCTAACCTTAGCAAGCAAGAGGAAAACAAATAACAAAAAATTAGAGATTTCTATTTTTCAGGATTAAAAATATAAAAGGGTCATAAATGAGTTTTAAATAATTTAATAGGTGTCTTGATCTTTTTAAATCACGTAGGTTACATGTGCCACGTCAGATGTAACAACGTTAATTTTGGGGGTTTCTGCAAATTGTATTAGGTGTTTAGTGTGATTTTGCCACGTCAGATGTAACAACGTTAATTTTGGGGGTTTCTGCAAATTGTATTAGGTGTTTAGTGTGATTTTGAAACCTGTTGAAGGTCAATATGATTTTTGAAAATTCTAGGGGGTCTTAGTGTGACGTTGAGAGTTATTAGGAGTTTATTGCAAAATACTAAAAAGTTTAAATAAGGGAGGGGCACTAATTTGAGTAATGAGCCCCAATAGGGTGGGAGGGAGTCGAGGAAAAAATAAAATAGGAAGACCAATTTGAGTATGAAGCCCTAGTACAAAGACCAAGTGAGAAAAAATATAAAGTACGAGAACTAATTTAAATATGAAGCTCCAGTGCAGGACCAAATTGGTCATTTAGCAAAAGAAACACCAAAACTTTAATAGTGACATCTATTCTACTCTATAATAAACCAACAAATGGTAGTAACAAAAATGTAGAAAGGTGGATCTATTCCTAGGAAATATACAAGGGGTAGTTTGATAATTTTATTGGTTACATGTTATTTCAAGTTCTCTCGTTTTATGCGAGCCTTTAGATCCTCTTTGAAAATAAAAATTACAAAAAAGAGAACCCACTTAGAGTATTAAAATGCTTTTAAGCTACTAAACGCAGAAATAGAAAATCATAAACCATTTGATTATAAAATATATTTTACTAATTAGATTTCAATTACCAAATTTCTTAAAAATATTAGTATGAAAATGTAAATATGTTTCTAGCCTATTAATCCTAAAACCCTTAATTGTTATCTAATTATAAAGATGCATTTTTTTGCCGACTCACTAAGTAATGTTCTTCTTCTTTATTTTCCAAACAAACACATTTAGATTAAAGATATTTGATATTTTTATAAACCTTAAAACTAAAGAAATAAATAATATACTTTTAAATTTATTAAATGTTACAATTTACAATCTAAAAGATTTAGAAATTTTATGTATTATATACTATTATTTGAGAACTCTTTACTTGCGTACGAATTATCTTTAATATATAGTGTAGGACATAATTATTTAAAATATGCTATTGAGCAAACAAAAGAACTCTTAAAATATTAATGAAAGATGCAATGAAATTGAGAATAAAACTATTAAAATCACAATTTAAAATTAAAACAAGAGAGAAATACGATAAAAAGATACCTTTTTTATTTTTAATGGTTGCTCTATTTTTTATATGTAAAATGTCCAAAATATAAGTTGTAATGTTTTTTGCACGTGTAATTGCATGTACCGAGCTGCTTTTACAACAGAAAACTAAATTAACATTAAAATTTTACAACATAAAATATCCAATATACCTCATCCAAGGGCATTCTCTACAATTCAACTTATTTCACATTCGAAGTTCCCTCTCTTTTTCTCCTCCTTGATAAGCATGAAGGGTTAGTGCTTGTACTGGGTTCTCACAACAAACTCGATGAGCATGAAGGACGAGCGCTTGGATTGAGTTCTCACAACAAAAATAAGTTATAGCATTAGATGGCCAAAATGTATTTCAGAATTTACACATTCCTGGTTGATTTTAGTTGTTTCTCCTAGCATCACAGTTTTGGGCTTCAATCGCCGCATTTGTTGCTCCAGCTTCATAATTTTATGGTTCAATTGTCTCATTTGTTGCTCCAGCTTAACAATTCTAGTGTTTAAATCACCATTTGTTGCTTCTGCTCCATAGTTCTTGAGTTTGTTGCCCCAACTTTAAAATTATGGAGTTCAATTGCCTCATTTGTTACTCTAGCTTCACAATTCTAGGGTTTAATTGCCTCGTTTGCTGCTCCAGCTTCACAATTCTGGGGTTTAATTGCCTCGTTTGCTGCTCAAGCTTCACAATTCTGGGGTTTAATTGCCTCGTTTGCTGCTCCAAGCTTCACAATTCAAGGATTCAATGCAATTGAACTATAGAGTTATAAGAGGTACGGAGTCAACTAATTTACTGCATAAGAACAAAGGGTTAGGACTTACATCAAAAATAGAGCGACGGACTAGCTCATGAGACATTTTGGATGAAAGGTTGTTGTGTGTTTCGTCTTCATCCTCCAACTTTCTTTTAATAATGATAAGAATCACAGCAAGAGATGGTTGTTCTCTATTAATCGCATTTAAATCTTGCTGTGGAACTGGTAGTTCTCTCTTACTAATTAACTCTTGCAATGCAACATTAATCATACTGCACTCTTTGCACCAAGCATGTCCGCCTCTCGTTCGGCACCCCACCGCCCTCAAGGTAGCCCGGCCTATGCTGATACTGGTTATATCTTCTGGCAGTAGTGGAAAAGCAAAAAATATAATGTTATAGTGAAGTATAAAATAGATGAAGTTACTGAAAGGCAAAATAAACCATGAAAAACTGAGACCATATTATGCATAGCTAAAAAACAAGCTCCATTTACAACATAACTATCCATGACTAATCCCTTCTTTAAACTGCACTGCATGGAGTACAAGCGAACCAGAGAACCAGAATGCGAGAAGTTCACACTTCGTACTCCACGTGTACCAGAAACAAGTAATTAGGACACATTGTGCACAAAATTCAGCATCACTTTGGCTTTCGTAAGAAGAATAGGATCCAGTTGTTCCTTTCTTTAATAGGTTGACATTTTTGGGAAATAAAAGGCTGTCTATAAAACATGATTTCTGGCAGTGTAATGGGTGGATGAAGTTTAACAAGTAAACAAGGAAGGCCTAACACAGCCTCCTCCCTCCCTCACTCGCTCTCCTTCAAAAGAAAAATATAACTGGTTGGAAAATGACTCTCAAGAATCAAGCGATATCTACTAAATAAATTCTATTTAAATACCAATGCAAAAACTATTTAATAGAAGGCAGAAAATGAATCAGAACTAAAACATGTAATCCTCTATGCTTTTGTTAATCACCACAAATTATCGTTTAACATACGGCGAAAAGAAGTAAACTATTATCCATACTCCACTGCTCTTATCTCATTTCTAAAGCTTCTCACCAACTTGATTTGACAATACTTTTGACACAGATTTAGGAACAGAATAAGGTTCTATTAAAAATATAAACCATTTTGTGTTAAGAGATAAGTATAATAAACGAAACTAAATAGAAGGATAAGATAAGTGTAATAAGAATTTTGGGTACGTGCGTCTAATCCTTCTTTATAAACTAAAATGTTAAGGAAGTATATCCTACACGAGCAAGACTAGGAGAAAATTTTTAGGAGAAAATTTTTAGAGATTTACTTCCATGACTAAGAACAAAATTTGTATTTGATAAACAGTAGATTTATTTAAAGTGGATTTAGACAATTAAACCAAAAGATAAATTGTTACCATATTCTCGAAGTAGTCTAAAGCATATTGTAGTCTCATTCACTCCATGTGAAGATTTGAATCCATCAACATAGACTTGGAGTATCTCAATCCCAATCTCATTTCCGAAATGGTAAGCCAATCTATTAGAACATTAAACTATAACTCTCAATTCTCACCACAAGTTTAGAGTTTAGTGCAAAAGTTAGAGAGACTCTGAGATGGTATCAAAGCAATCCAGGTTCAAATTCCCCCAGCCATGTTTTATATGGATTTCAAAAAAAAATTGACATGTTACGCGAGTCTAGATTTCGGTCAATAAAAAATGATGCTTGAAGGAACAAATTAGAACATAAAAATATAACCCTTAATCCTTAGCACAACTTTGGAGTTTTAGTGTAATGGTTAGGGACTTTAAGATAATCCAAGCCATCGGGTCGAATCAACGAGTTCAAGTCTAATCATTGGATCATTAGATTCCTTAATCAATTGCTTGTTTTCATTCTTAAATTCCTCAATTTTTTTTGTTGAAATTACTATTCTTTAACATGAAATTAAAGGAAGTGCGTTAAATGAAATATGGATAAAAATGTATTAATAACAGAGAGTTAATGTTAATTTGGGATGAGTAGGGAAATGTGCAAATAAAAAAATTATGAGTATAATAAGTAGCTAAATGCTATACTATATACATGCATTAACAAAAGAAACATATGCAAAATTTGACTAGCATTAAAAAGCATAAAGATTTTTCCATATAGACATAAAAAATAAAATGCAACATATGAATTGTTTTAAATATCCTCGACATGGCCTAATATATCCCCTGATATATCATTTTACAAAGCTTGGCACAAAATGATATGGTCTAAGTATCATTCATAGCTTCTTGATAATTTTGGGTGATATATCCCCGATATAGTTGATATTTTAGCCGATATTTTGGCCAATATGCCCTTTTATATGGCTTGTCATAAACCAATATACTAATTTTCACAATTTTCAAGTGACATATCATGATTTTCTAATATATCATGTGAAATTTGGCATCAAAAAATCAGACGAGACGTTGCCATGTCGAGTTAGATGTTTATTTGTTTTTAAAGGTTGATTAGTGATCCTAAATATAGATTATTTGCATTTTTGTATGCTTAGATTTCATTATGTTTAGATTACATTTTAGAACATTACATTATATATTCATATCATCCAATATAGCACACCTATATTTACCACATAGCCTCAATATTTCCCCTATATTCGTAGTCCAATGTGAACTTTGGTCATCTGATATTTTCCTATATTCGATATTTAAAATCTTAGACATATGTCAAATAGAAACAGGTTGGGAGAGATTTTAGCACCACTTTAACATCTTCCATGCTTGTGAGACACATATGCTTGTGCGAGATTGGACTCTACTAAAGAGATATACTAGTGGTGTTGCCCAACCGAGTCACATCAAAAGATGTGACCTCACCACATTTATCTCCTCATAGCTTATTCTCTTGGATGAGATAGAAACTCACATCCTCTAACCAATATTATATATGTAATGTTTGCCTCCATGCATGTTGTCGGATCTTTATATTTTACTTCTTAAGGATTTGAAGTGTAGCTGTCATATTTTATCCATATCTTTTGTTCGGTTGTATGATGTTTGGCGTATAACAATATATGACTTGACATTTATCCTAGATCAGCTTGACTAAGCTTCCCATTGTGAATCAACAAAAAATATAAAAAAAGAGTTATGGTGTAAAAACTATTTTTGGTAAATCAAAGAAGAATTTAGAGAAAATTCTCGAGCTTCACATACGTCCAATCCAATATATAACGTGAATTATGTTAATCCATTATCAAGCTATAAGCATTCAGTTGCAGTTATAAGAAAGAAGAGTATTTGATAAGTTCATGCTTTCGAACAAAGACCTGTTGAACAAAAAGCAACCACATCTAATATGCTTTGGTACATGCTACAATAGCCTCAATGAAAAGTGAAAGTAGATGACATGCTCTAATTGATTAATTTTATCTTTATCATTAACGAACATTGGCTATTTAAGATAAGTTGCATGAAATCTTATTACTTAATTCTGAAAGGGGTGAGAATCCCATATTATGGTAACATGCCTTCTATGTCCATCAAATTACGGTAACATGTCTTAGATATCCATCAAAACTTTATATATAGGATTAATTAAACAACCTAATGTTTCACCACCTTTCAAATGAATATTATTAAAGTATTTTTTAACAAAAAATGTCCCAAATTTTGTCAGAGAAAGATAAACTTAACAAAGTTATAACAACTATTTTACCCTTTCACGTACTTTCTACCGACCCCTTTTAGTCACAACTCTCACAAGCTTCTACCATAAATCGCTAATTTTCTCCTCTTTTCTCGACATCTCAACGCCTCCCTTATTTCTACCATTACCCCCAAATTTTGATTTTTTTTTTCTTTTAATGATATTTGACTTAAGTACTGAAATCTGTTGATTCTTCCTGTATTTATAGATTTAAATTAACTCGATTTTTTGAACATGGATATAGTTAAATTAGTTAGTTATTGGAAATTGTATTAAAAAGTAGAAGAAAAATCTTGATCTTTAAGGAACTCTCGATGATGTTTTAAGAAATTCTTAATTAATATCCCAACACTACCAACTAAATGTTTGTGACGATGTTTTAAGAAATTGTTTCAATGGGAAATTAGCTGGAAAACATTGATATTCAATTCTAATGAAGTTTGACATATTAATCTACCATTTTTTTTTAAGATATGTCTTTGAAAAAGTGGCAAAGCTTTAGGATATTATGGATGGTGACTTTTTAAACGTGTAGTTGTCATAACTAAAATAGTAACCCTTTTTGTCAACCAAAAATCTTTGTCATTATATATTACATGATTTTATTTCGATGATTTTTTTATACTCTCCAACCATTAACACACACCTTCTAGCGCAATTGTAAACATCCCATTACATAGGTGTGTTAGTGCTCTAAGAACAAACAGAAGAAGAAAACTTAGTTCTCAAAGAAACTGTTGAGAGAGAACATGCAAATGTGGAATAAGTATAAACATGGACTTTATCAAGAAAAGAATCAAGGAACAATTGAAAGTATTATTAGTTGCCTTAAACAAATTATATGTGCAAAGAGGATATAATTGGAATGATCACTAGCAATTATTAGGTATGTGCAAATATGATAGGCTTGTAATATTTCTCCATAAATTAGCCTGGAATGTATGGTCTAAACGTTTTCTTCTTCATGCTATTGCTTAAAATTAGATATGTTATTAGAGCAGGCTTAAGTTAGAAACCCTCTTCTTTCTTTCTAAACCTAGAAGCCTCCAAGGGCTTGCACATTTTACCCCTTGGTGGTTACGTCAAGGACTAATCCCATTAATCAACGGATTTTTCTCTACATCATCTATAAGAGTTTTACTAGTCTTCTCTTCTGACTACACTTATAATGTCTCCGTCATTGACATTATTGATGGTCTCCTCTCTTTAACATTTGTGTCTTCGTTGACGCAGCGCGAAAGTAGTAGCCTCGGAATTCACCAAGGACAATCTTCGAATCCACAAAGTAAATATGGAAGAAAAAAAATTATTAATAAAAAGTTATGCCTCTAGGGCTTACAAGACCCTACTTAAATAGAAAAGAAACAAGATTTTTACAAGGACTCAAACTCCTATAAGGACTCTAACTTACCAAATATAGTATAAGACTTTCTAAAACATTAAAACTCCTAAAAAGACTACTTACGACTAGGAAAGTCCACCGGTTAAATCTGAGATCAAATAGGCTTTGTTTCCTAATTAAAACAAACTCTTAAAGCATTACTAAAAATAGTAAAAATGAACAAAAATACAGATATCTCTCAAACCATAAGAAATTTGACGAAACGGATGAAGCAAACCGAACCCTTAGGAGAAGGTTTGGATGACTCTGTCTCGTCGACATAGTTGATTTTCATGTATAATTCGTCAAATTCTGACGTACGGTTTGAAAGTTACGGCCGTTTCTTCGAAACAAGTTATTTTCTTCGACCAGGCCCGCATTTGGGCTTACGACTACCCCACTTTAACGTAAACGTGTCTACCGTGTGTTCTACATCATTCGTTAACACCTCAACATCAGTATTTATTGGTTCTCCATTACGAGATCCTTGTCTTGTCTTCTAATTTATGTCGAGCTACTTTTATACGTCAATGTCACATGGAAATGTTATCATAACTTCCATGTTGACTTTGTTTGCGGCGTCTTGTCTTAGATCTTGTTGTCTTCCTTCATACCTCGAATTAATGTTCTATGATTTTCCATAACAAAATTATGCTCTTATCTACTAATATCCAATCGATCTATTTCTTGATGTCAATATTGTTTGAAGAAGTCTGTTATCTGGTTGCTCAGCCTTTCTCTCTTGGCTAGTTTTTCATGATGATACTCCACTCTCACCTTTTGCTTTTGGTCAAGCCGCTTGTTGACATTTGTAATTTATAAGAACATCCATTTATGTCCTATTTGGGTGCCATGGGTATCTGTCATGTTTGGTTGTTTTGCGATGAGGTTTTTCAATCGCGTTCCGATCTTCTGTAGAGCTCCTTCTCAATGTCGCTCTCAGAATATGCATTCATAGAAAGTTGGAGTTTGCTCCTATTGAGGGTAAAATGAGGGAGAATCAACTGAGATGGTCTGTCGGTGCACAACGTAGGCTATTAAATGCAACAATTAGGATAAAGGATAAGGTTATAAATAATTCAGTGAGTAGCAACCTCATGATTGAAAAAGTAATAGTACTCTGCATGTCCTAGACATGGCTAGAAACTGAACATCCATTGCAAGTAAGTTAAGAACCCTAACATCTTATATAAACCAAAGGCGCGCCTCCTCTAGAAGAACAATATATCCTTACCAAAAAATGCTACCAAAATAAGAAACTATATACTATAAGGGTTGTTTGGTCTGTTGATTGCATCTTGAGTGCACCCCTAAAGATTTTGAAAGGTACACATTCAAAACATTATTTGTTTACAATGAATCGGAAAGAGGACTTGCATGAGAGATAAAATACAACTAGACTTTATTTGGTTGCACATGAATTTTGTTGAACATATGTGATTAAAATCCCAAATCAGATTGAAATCCCAAATCAGATTGAATGCCGACTTTCAATACACAATGCTTTAAAAATGCCAATCGTGACCAATCATAAGATCTATGAGTAAAAGTTCTCCGAAGAAAGCACAGAAACAATCATAACACATCAAATTAATAAACACCAGCCCACAGCAGGAACAACAAATGATTGCGAGAAGAAATTAACAACGTTGAACTCAATTCAAGGGACCGTAGCCCGTCAAGTCAAGAAAGTATGCAAAATTACCAGATCCCCCTGGATGCTCAAGATATAGTTCGGACTCCAGTTCCCTCAAATTCATTTGCCATATCGCCTCTGCAACATAGATTGAAAAAGAACAGAAATTAGCATCTATTATGCAGACAATCAACAATACTCTTAATACTAGACATTAAGCTATATGAGGCTAAAATTTCCAAATGAAAAGAAAAAAAAACAGAAAAAAGAAAAGGACATCCGAATGATATAGTCCATGAAATTACTTGATTGCAAATACATTAATGATGTCAACATGAAGGAGAAAATAACCATACAGCTACTTTAGGTACTACAAGTGCTCACATGCACGGAAAAAAAAGTAAAATTTTCTCAAATTGGCAGTAGATAGAATGAAAGAACATTGAACCATAAGAGCAAGAGGACTCTGGGATAATGAGAGTGGAATCAGATTCTAAATGAAGGGAAAATAAATAAATAAAATAGATAAAAAACCAAACATTCCAAAATCAATCCAAAGCTGGTTGCTTTAATTAAAATATATCAAATTTAAAAACAAAAAACTACAAAAAAAACAAATAATCACATTCGAGCAATTACAGTCACAAATCCATGAATATGCCAAACCTGGCAACAGTTAAACAGATATATATACTACAGTAGATCAAGCGAAAGTAGTATTAATTAATAAACCCGAAGTTGTTTCAATGACCTTCGTTAGTCTCGATCGAAATGGACGACGACCCTTCGTTCATGACCGCCGCCGTGGCCGCCCCGTCGCTGTCGAGATCCATCGCCGTAGCCTGCGGCAGCGCTCTTATTTTGCCGCAACAGCAGGTATGAGCGTAGCAAGAGAAAATAAAAGAGAGGAGAGAGAGCAGAAGAAAAAGGCCCCTCCGCGACCTTATAAAGACACAGGGGAGATTTAAAGCGAGCCTTTTTTATCTTTTTCGCTTTGCAACTTAGCACTTGGCTGAAATAAGAGAATAGAAGAGGTGTTATATGAAAAATCTCGAGAAATATATGCAACCGCCTTGACTTGACATTCGGAATTTCCGTGTCTTCTTCAGCAGCAATTAATGTCGTGTGGCCCGGTTGCCAGTTGCCACTAGTCAAGGAGCTATCTGCATGAGGCACACGTGAGGAGTACGTTATATTTTCCGTGTTTTTCTACTTTTGTGTTGGTTAGTAATTATTAAAGTAGGGGTGGAATCGAATCAAATTTGAACGGTTCAAATTCGAGTTTGGTTCATATAATGTTATTCGTGTTCGTATTCGAATTCGACTATAATAGTAATACAAATTCGAATTCGCTTTATTTATTTATATCAATGTTCGGAAAAAAATTCGCGAATATTTGTTTAGCGTTACTCTGCAACTTCGATTTTGAATTATTCGTCAAATATTCGATATGTGTTTGCTAATTATTGTAGGGCGTATGTAACTTGTACCGGTGGGCGTCGTCATGGGGAGGGACGAGGGCGTCATTGGAGAGGGAGGAGTGCGTCGTCGCAGGGAGGAGGGCGTCGGAGAGGGAAGAGGGCGTCGTCGCGGGGAGGGAGGACAGCGTCGACGGGGAAGGAAGAGGGCGTTGTGGAGGGAAGAGGGCGTTGTGGAGATAGAAGCGCAGGTCCTCGGAGAGGGAAGAGAGAGTTGTTGCATGGAAGGGGGAGGGTGTCGTCGCCTGGAGGGAGGACGGCGTCATCAGCGGGGAGGGAGGAAACCCTAGGTGAGAGAGAGAAATATGTATTTGGTTGGAGTCGGAATGTGGAAACTCAGTGATGGTGAAAACCCTAGGTCCCTCTTAACATGTCTATTTATATATGGGGTAGAAGTTGCAATAAAAATTTTGATGGGTAATATTTGCAACAAGTTTAATTAATAGGATTAACATATAAAAAGTTATCGAATAGTTAATAATCAGCCGAATCGAATGTACATTTAGTTAAATTCTATTTGTTTATAAGTCGAGTACTAAAAAATATTCATTTAGTATTAAATGAACTGTCAGATTGAATATGACCGAATATCTGGACGAATATTAATCGAATTTTTTATTAAAATAGGGTTCCAACTAAAGCAGTGCCTAAACCTCCATATGAGATATGGAGTGGGAAGAAACCACATCTTAATTATATTAAGATTTGGGGATGTCATGCTTATGTAAAGAAGCAAGATCCCAAAAAGTTAGAGGCACGCTCAGTATTATGCAAATTTGTAGGATATCCAAGGAATTCCATTGGATATCAATTCTACCACATCGATGAACAAAAGATAATTGTTTCTCGGCATGCCACCTTCTTAGAGAAGGAATTTCTTGAAAAAGAAATTAGTGGGAGCATGGTAGAACTGGAAGAAATTTCAGAGATACAAAATATTACTGATAAATTAGTGGAACCAGCAAATTCAGTTATACCAGAAGAACCTCAACCACTCCACAGATATCCAAGGCGATCTCATGCACCTAAGACACAATATAATTTTTTAGTTGAAGGTGGCATGTTAGATCACGTCATAGATGATGACGAACCTTTAAGTTATCAGCAAGCCTCTGAGAGTAGGGACTCTGTTGCTTGGCATGATGCAATGAAATCTGAAATAGACTCTATGTACACCAACAAAGTATGGATATTAGACAATGCTTCTAAATGGGTGATACCCATAGGTTGCAAATGGTTGTTTAAGAAAAAGATGGGTGTAGATGGGAAAGTAGAGACTTTTAAAGCTAGACTGGTAGCTAAAGGTTTTCGTTAAAGACCTGGTTTGGACTACGATGAAACCTTTTCTCTAGTGGCTATGCTAAAGTCTATTCGGATCCTACTTGCTATAGCTGCTTACTATGACTACGAGATCTGGCAAATGGATGTCAAAACTGCATTTCTAAATGGTGATTTAGAAGAGTGTATACATATGTCTCAACCAGAGGGATTTTTAGTCAATGGGAGCAGTGGAAAAGCATGTAGGTTGCTTAAATCCATTTATGGACTGAAGCAAGCATCATGGAGATGGAACATCTGTTTTGATGATTCTATCAAAGAGTTTGGTTTCATCAAAAATCCAGATGAACCATGTGTGTATAAAAGGATAATTGGGAGTATAGTATCGTTTCTTATTTTGTATGTAGACGATATACTCTTAATCGGTAATGACATACCGTCATTAAAAGCGGTAAAAATTCAGCTATCAAAAATTTTTTCCATGAAAGATTTGGGTGAAGCATCCTGTATACTGGGTATTCAGATTTATAGAGATAGATCTAAAAGGATATTAGGATTATCTCAATCTAGATACATTGGCAAAGTGCTAAAACGGTTTAGCATGGAAAATTCCAAGAAAGGAAAATTCCAAGAAAGGTTTCGTACCTGCATCTCCTGGAATCTCCCTCTCTAAAAAGATGTCTCCCCAGACTTATGAAGAGAGGAAATGCATGAGTCTAATTCCTTATGCCTCGACAGTAGGATCGATCATGTATGCCATGTTATGTACTAGATCGGATATCGTTTATTCACTCAGTTTGGTAAGTAGATACCAATCTAATCATGGAGAAGAGCACTGGAAAGCGGTCAAAAATATACTTAAGTATCTGAAAAGGACTAAAGAGTTATTTTTGATATATGGTAAAAGTTACCTCCAAATGGAGGCTTTTTCCGACTCTAGCTTTCAGAGCGATATTGATGATAGTAAATCTGTTTCAGAATATGTTTTTACCCTCAATAGAGGGGCTGTCAGTTAGAAAAGTTCCAACCTGGACATAGTGGCAGACTCTACTATGGAAGCCGAATACATTGCTGCAAATGATACAGCCAAAGAAGCTGTCTGGATGAGGAAGTTTCTTTCAGAGCTGGAAGTTGTTCCCACTATTAAAGATCCATTACCTTTATACTATGATAGTAATGTTGTAATAGCTCTGACAAAGGAGCCCCGGTCTTACCATAAGTCCAGACACATTCTGAGGAAGTATCACTTGATCAGGGAGATAGTTGATCGCCAAGAGATCAAGATTGAAAGAGTAGACACAAAAGATAATATAGCAGATCCATTCACAAAGGCAATTGCTCGTACATAATTTGAAAAACTTGTTGAGCTATTGGGTATTAGATACTACAATGATTGCCCTTAGTGTAAGTGTGAGTTTGTTAGATATAGGTGCCCTGCAGGCAATAATTGTATATTATAACAGGACCTATATGAATATAACAGCCTTGTTCAAAATGATAGTATGCTATTTTGGTCAGTATTTATCTGGTATTTTTTAAATACAGATATAGTCCTTAGAATGATACTAGACTATCAGGCATTTTGGATATAATCGTAATGAAGAGATCTGATTTGTCATTAACGTATATTCTTAAATGTTCCTAGTCGATGAAGTGTTGAAATGAGACATCATCACTTTGGGAAGACTAGTGTATATTCTCAACCCATCAAGAACTCTCAAACCATCAAAATTCTTGCCTTTAAAAAAAACTCAACTCTTCAAAATAAATTCGGATTTCCTCTCCTCCTCGATCAAAGTTCTTCTTCTCCCAAGGCTAGGGTTCATCCATCTTCAAGCTCAAGACTTGATTTGGGTAAGCTTCCCCTCAAGAACCCCTCTTTTTTTTTCTTGCATTCTTAATTAAGAATCTATAGGTTTTACAAGAAAGATTGAAACTTTACTCTTGTAGTGTGGGTATGTAATGCAAAGATTAAATCTTGATGATGGGTTTTGAAAGTGGCCGAAATTTTGGGGAGGTTTATGCAAGAACAAGGCCAAAATTTTGGAGGAATTTTGTGTAAAATAGGGCTAAAATTTTGAGGGGCTTTTATGAAAAAGTGGACTAAAAATTTGGGACTTGGATTGTATACCCATTTGGCCACAACTTTTAGGGGTGTTTCATGCAAAAAGATCACCAATTGTTGAGGGGTTTATTTGCAAAAAGTGGTCAAAATTGGTTGGGGGACTTGTTTGCAGAGTGGCTGAAAAATTTTAGGGCTAAAATTTGTAGAGTTTGGACTACATACCCATGACCAAAAGTTTGAGAGGTGTATGTGCAAATTAGGCCGAAATTTGTTGCGGATTTATTTGCAAAATTGGCCCAAATTTGTAGAGGGGTTTATTTGCAAAATTAACTAAAATTGTAAGATATTAAGGACGATGGTTTTCCTTCCTCGATCATGGCCAAATTCAAATGTGTTCGTGGCTAAAATTTAACCTTGAACATGAGGGGTATTTTGGGTATTTTACCCAAAAGTTAATCATGAAGGTTTTAAATACAATTTGAACCCATTGTTTGCATGCATAAAACTCATAGGTTTAATTAGACTTCAACTATAAAATCCTATTCTGTTTATAGGACTTCAGTTAAAGTTCATAATTTTCCTTTTAATTTTCGGGTACTTGAATTTATGATTGTACCTGATCCGTTGATTTTCGTTGCAGGTTAACCATGTCTCCACACCGACCACGATTCCATAAGAGTTGCTCCTCTTCTCAGCATAGCGAGAGGGAGGTTCCAGTAGCGTCCTCTTACGGGGGTGAGCTTTTATGCTTTCTGTATCCTCGTTTGACCCCTTCGCGGATCATTCGGGAAAAATCAACGTCCTCCTTCGCGGGGATTGAGGTTTCAGGATGACTCCTGGTTCTATCATGCCCTCGTTTGGCCCCTTCGCGGGTCGTTCGGGAAGAACCGACGTCCTCCTTCGCGGGGATCGAGGTTTCAAGATGATTTGTTGTTCTATCATGCCCTTGTTTGGCCCCTTCGCGGGTCATTACGGAAGAACCGACGTCCTCCTTCGTGAGGATCGAGGTTTCAAATGACGTGTTTTGCCTGGCCAATTCACGTCTTATGGCATATTGTGGAGATTTCTTGTTGTATTACATTGCGTGGGTCGGGGTATATTACCACGTTGCT